CGACAGTAAGCTGGATAGTAGTATTCCAGAGTTCAAGATGGTTTTAGGGGTCTTCTAGGAAACTGGCTTTGGTCCTTGTTTTATTTCGTGGTACCCGTCGGTAAGGTTAGGCATTGTTCGAACTGTTGCTGCATGGTAGGATACCCATCGATCTGTTACGAGGGTATAGCCTTATTGGAAAGCAGTGCGACCTCCATTGGCATACCGGGTGTGTAGATTTGACGGATGCTTGAAACTCGTGTTACATCTCACGAGCTAGAGAACGCGACAGGGCTGGTCTATAAATCACCGTTTACGCAGTGTTGTGCTCAGTAGGACTTCACGACGACGTGACGCGTGATGTCATTTTGAGCCTCAGTTGCTATCAACTATCGAAGTATCACGGCTGCGGTTATGGTTGACCACTATTTGCAGCTCATTGATGGAAGGGTCCGATGAGTCGAAAACATATGGCTATAACTATAACGTTCGTCGAGGAACCTTTGAGGCGGACTGTCGCAAAGCTTGATGATACAGACTCAAAACATTGAGACTTCGTGGACGTTCCTTAAGAGCAGAAGCCACATCGTGCGAGCCCGAGTTACCACTCTGACTAATCTCGGATAGCTTTATAATAATAATAATAATATCCCTAGTTCTTTAAATCTAATTACACCGTGTGGAGAGCAGAAGCGTCGGAGAGGCCGGTAGAGCATGGATTGATCTCATCCGCCTAGTTCTTAAATTTAATTACACCGTGTGGAGAGCAGAAGCGTCGGAGAGGCCGGTAGAGCATGGATTGATCTCATCCGCCAATGACGTCTGATCTGGTATTTGCACGGGATTATTTCTTTATCCTTTGCGCATCCAACTGTGAGCAAGGTTCCATGTTTGCCAGCGAATGTGTACGCCAGTTCCGTACTACGAAGTATAGACCCGGAAGTCCATTCTCTGATGGCATGTAATTTATGTAGGGATAGCGTTCAACATGGGCTCATGTGTTATGTGGGAAGCCCTCGCGACAGCCAAGAATGCACCACGTCATGATGGGTCATCGCGAGAGCACCGTCAGTCTGTGTGCAAGGGACTTACCCCATGGTTGAGAGGATGAACTTTGTCACCGAGCCACCACATTTCTTGGGGCTGACTTTTCCGTGTCTCAAACATATCTCCATAAATGCCATGTTATGAATTTGTTGACGCCATCTGACAGCGGTTCTGGGACTAATTTCTCAAGTACCTTAGAATGCCTCGACCTCCGACTGCCTGGACCAGCTCCTGACTACTGCCCGTCCCGCAGCCTCGTATACGCAACCCCTGAAACCCGGCAGTATGCATTCTTACGCTGATTGGCGGCTCGTTATCATCATCGACAGCATGACCTCAATGTTCAACATTGATGCTTCACTGCGGCTCTAAAACCCATGCACTGACTTCGGACACATTTACGTAAATCTTCCCGACTCCTTGTGCTTCCTGTGGACCCCCTCATCTGAAGACTTGAGCATGATTCTACATCTGGTGCAAAGTGCCTGGCGTAGAGGTTGGCAGCTTTCAGTTCATCGGGTAACGCTTTTGTTCCCTGGCTCGTTTCTAAAACGAGGTCGACATGCTGCACGACAAGTTTTTCTGCATCAGTTTGGCAGTTTGGTGCTTGTGCTGCGTACGACCAGCCACTGTCAACCAGAGAAAAATTCTTTCGAATAAAAACACAGGTTTTTCAGCTGAGTGAGTAACTCGCAAGAGACAGCCCATGACTCAGCAACATGAGAACGGGTGCTGTTAAGACTAGCTTTACGAGTTTTTTGTCGATGTTTGGGTGAAAATCATTCGAAACGCTATTGAGTATGGCGTGTAACCGTTGCCATTAGTGAACCTGCCACCGTTTCTTAGCGAGGCTGGTTATGTCTCTGTCATACGTTTGGCTCGTTTCAAGTTCAAAAGGGTGGTGGGTCAGCCCACCTGATGGCAGCTGTCTACAAACCTAATGGCATCAGAAGGTGTTGGCCCCTTGCTCTTGGCCGTTCTCCGCAGGGACTTGCAACTTTTACCTGTCGGAACCCACCTTCCACTCATTCTCGCTCCATTGATGCACGGCGGTTGGGCACCAGTATTCACTCTGCCCATTGCTCTCCGTGGTGGTGACAACTGTCTGGCTCAGTTTTTGCAAGACACCGGTAGATTAGACACTGACCAGTGACGTAAACTAGCGAAAGGTCGTTTAGAGAGAACGAGTTTTTCTTGAGCGAGGAGGTGTACTTTGTGATATCCCCGTTGCAGACGAACAGCCATAGTAGAGCTTGTCGGTACTTCGAATGGCCACTCCCATAGTCCCGCCAGATCTAGTCGATTCTTCGGAGACACTGGTGGTCAAACGCGGAGGGGGCATGGGGCTAGGGTGGCACCAAGTTCCTTTTCTCCATTTTATTCTTTTTGCTCCTGGGCTTGTTTAACTAACAACGACATTTCAGCTTACAGCGTTTGTGGTGATACTCGTGTCACTGCTGTCAGACATTCCACTCGTATGCCACATGTAGCCAGCTGATGGGACAGGTGGGCCTGTGTGTTGACCACGTGGCTCATTACCATCACAGCGTACAAGATGCAAAGGGGGGTGAGATAACTCAGTGGCTGGAGCGCTGATTTACTGACCGAAGGGTCCGTCGTTCGAACCCGAACACGTATTGGTTCACTTGATTGTAGCGTCACTAACCGTTTATGGTGATGCTACACTCCAAATGAGTTATTCTCGTTTTTCACATGCCATGTTTTTGAAAATTCATACCCGGATTCTACCGAATTCTAGTGCGTAGCCTAACGGGGCTATTCTTTGTCCAGTCGGGAAATAGCACCAATAACTGTGCTAGTCATTTCGCTGCGAAAATATGTCCATGGACTCGGACAGTTCCGATCATCGTATGTTACACAGCCATTTGGACAATATCACTAGCCACTGTACCTCAATTTGGTATGGTGTCTGCAGTCGGCGAATGTGATGTCGATTTTTCGGTGCCGTCGTGGGTATGGGCAGCCGCTAACGGATCTATCATGTGATTCAGCAGGTGTTCGACGGTGTGCGAGATACCTGCTTAACCTTAAACTACGTCATCTTGGTCATTTCCGTTTGTAGCTCTGTTTTCCGTCCATTATTCGGAGTGGCGTGAACCGAGGAAAATAAGGGGAGCTGTGATATTTGTTGACTATGGGTGTATCTGGCCTCCATAAGGGTCTCGTTTTGTCTCGCTAAGGGCACCGCACCTTGTATGTTTACTCAACTGCCATTAGACTCCGCCATTTTCATCTCCTCAGCATTATCCACAGAATGGCGTGCGATACCGAGGCATTCGCGTTTGAAAAGTGGTGATGATTTCAGTTTTTTTGGTATAGATGTGCTTCCATTTAATGCATTGCTTGTACCACATGGCATACTGGTGTTTTTACTGCATTCCCTTGTATTTCAAAGCAGTTCATTATTCACTGCCATCCGAATTTGGTTTACGTGAACTAATATTGCGTTTTTTAAATGGGAGCTTCATTTCGCTACCAGTTTTTTTTCGTGGATTAAAATATTTTCAAATCCTGCGCGTGAAAGGTTACAGTGAGCACAGCTGAACCACGGGAAGGTTAGGACAACAGTACCAAGATAAGAGCTCCTTCGGACGATCTTTTCAGGTATCACTGTATATACGGACTGTGCGAGTACGTCGGCTCTACGAGGTAGGCACAATCTATTGGAGGGAGCATCTGGCCGTTCTTGTGAATCTTTACCACTCGCCAGAAAACGCACGAAGACTTCATTCCTAGAGGGCATACGAAAAGGGTCACACATATATACGGTTATTCGACTGACTCACTGAATAGTTTCTGCAGCTTCAACAGTCCAAACGTTGCTCGTATGCTACGTACCTTGAAACATACGTAATTCGTTCGTTCAGCTGTAGGGCCATTTCGGTGCCTAACTGCCATGCTACCAGGAGGCACGACGGGTGGGATACTGCCAGGTTGCCCAATCCTAGACAGGGGAAGTCGATAGGTAGAGATTGGGTTTGAACCACGGTCGGTAAATTCGCGCTGTTACTACAGCCATCTCGTCCCCACCATGTTTCAGTCAGTCGTGTGCTTTCTCTTCGTATCAACGGGGCGAGATGGCCCAAGTGGTTAGAGCGCGAATTTACTGACCGGAAGGTCCGTGGTTCGAATCCGACCTCCGCCTCTCGACTTCCCCTCTCTAGGCTTGGACAACGTGGTGCTACAGCTGAACGCTCGCTCTTCGTATCAACAGACCGCACTTTAGGGTTACTGCAGCCGCATTTTAGACTGCTATGGTTTAAAGCCAAATTATAGTCACCTGCCTTCCCAGAGCGTGCGTTCGGCTGTAGCACCCTTCCGGTGCCTAGCTGCCATGCCACCCAAAGTCGGATTCGAACCACGGACCTTCCGGTCAGTAAATTCGTGCTCTAACCACTTGGGCCATCTCTTCCCAAACGTTAAGGCCAAATTAGTCCGTCCTTGTGCGTGCATTCGAACTGCCGCTGAAGTGATCCGATGGGGTTTCAGTCAACCAGCTGTATGTTTCAGTAATGCTCAAAAGAATACCTTAACAGCACTAGACGCTGAAGATAACATATGTAATACACCCACCAGTTTCATTGACCGAATTCAGCAATGTAGGTAGTCCAGGCATCTGAGTTTAGGTTGAAAGATCAATTGCAACGAGTACACTGATATCGCAAACGGTCTTAGTAAATCTTTAAGTTAATTTGAATGACCTGGTTAGTGTTGGATCCCACTCTCGTGTACATAACAGCGGCGAGCTGTTCGTGTACATTTCTTAGAATACTACCACGCGCAAGACAATTGGAGTGCGAAATCTTTTTTCAGATCCGCATGTTTCGTGTTTTCTACAGATTGTAGTCGTATAGCTACGTATTAATTATATACATTCTACCTTAGGTCATCAATCGAGCTACTTATTAGTGTTCTGTTTTTCATTTTAGCCTGCTTTAAAATGTCATTTTTAGGTACCCTTGGTTCTACCTCCGCATGGCAGATTATTACACAGGTGGTGAATTCGGATCTTCAGGTCCTGGTTTCGAAAACCAAGCTCAAGTTGCCACAGAAAGCAATGGAAACTTCAATAACTATGGTAATTATGATCGGGATGGAGAGTCGGACATAAATTCCACGGAGTATTTGGATCGTAAGGACAGATCCCCACGTCACCGGAAACGAGACTCCAGCTCCGAAGACCGTGGACGGGATCGCAAACGTGACAAGAAAAGGTCACGAAGTCGAAGCCGCAGTCGCGAACGGCGGCGGCATAGTCGGGATCGGCATCGTGATCGTAGCCGCGAACGTCGATCCAAACATAGACATTCTCGCCATCGTTCCGAGACGCCACCCCTTATTTACAAATATTGGGACGTACCACCACCCGGTTTCGAACATGTCACTCCTGCCCAGTATAAAGCAATGCAGGCTTCGGGACAAATCCCAGTGAACGTTTACGCAGCTGGTCAGATCCCCATGCCAGCTCACGCACCAAACGCTCCACTCACGCTTACCACAAATATCCCGTTTGCTGGTAGTGCTGTTTGCCGCCAGGCGCGCCGCCTTTATGTTGGTAACATACCGTTTACCGCTACCGAAGAGAATATGATGGAATTCTTCAATAAACAGATGCGGGCTCAAGGACTTGTTCAGGCCGAAGGTAGTCCGATAATTGCCGTACAAATTAACATGGAGAAAAATTTTGCTTTCCTCGAATTTAGATCCGTTGATGAAACGACACAGGGGTTGGCTTTAGATGGCATTCTTTTCCACAATCAAGCACTGAAACTCCGTCGACCGCGCGATTACGCTCCCCTTCCCGGTGTGTCAGAGACGCCTTCAGTTATCGTCCCAGGTGTTGTCAGCACGGTTGTCCAGGATTCACCACACAAGGTGTTTGTTGGTGGTCTCCCGAATTACTTAAACGAAGACCAAGTGAAGGAACTGCTGCTAAGTTTTGGGCCATTAAAAGGGTTCAATCTTGTCAAGGACGGTTCAACTGGTTTGTCGAAAGGTTATGCCTTCTGTGAATACGTCGATCCAAATGTCACTGACCATGCGTGTGCTGGCCTCAACGGCATGCAACTGGGAGATAAGAAATTGATTGTTCAGCGGGCCAGTGTTGGTGCCAAACACAACGCCACAACAGCTGCCCCAGCACTGCTTCAATTACCTGGCTTGACTGATACCTTGGTACAGAATACAACCGGAACAGGCAATATAACAATCCGTAGTGGTGGTCCTCCCACCGAAGTCCTCTGTTTAATGAATATGATTGACCCGGCTGAACTAGAGGATGACGAGGAATACGAGGACATCGTTGAGGATGTCCGCGCTGAATGCAGCAAATACGGTGTTGTTCGAAGTCTAGAGATACCTCGACCCATCCGTGGAGTTGAGGTACCTGGTGTGGGTAAGATATACGTCGAGTTCGCCAGTCTCATCGATTGTCAGAAGGCAGCTACTGCCCTCACTGGGCGCAAATTCAATCAACGTTTGGTAGTCACTTCGTTCTTCAATCCTGACAATTACCACCGCCGTGAATTTTGACATCCCTGTGTTAATAACTTGTCGAATGTATATATGGTGCAATTTTAGCTATGCTATGAAATTCTGCCAATTTTTACCTGTTAATGATGCTCATTCAAATGGAAGTGAGCTTCCGAAAGAATCGATATCACTAGCAGCTTTTATGCACATTAAAGGAGCAGGTTTTGTGGCGATACGGTTTCTTCGCTCCGGCTTCTAACCTCGTTTTGCAGAGTGTAGAACTTGGGGACTTCGTCAAACAGTGCGGCCACGGTGCCAATGTGCCTGGGTGTCACACGTACAGGTGCGCCATAAATGAAGAAACGGTTAACCTGAATCAACCCCCATGTGCTCACTATCACCTACTACTAGTCAACTGTCCGTGGGCCTAGACAGTCACTCGGACTGCGAAAAGACCAGTGCTAGGTGATCTCCCAAGACCATATGCTGACCACTGTAATCACTTTTTAACCCTATAACATTAGGTTCAGTGGTTTATTTCTAGACGTTCCCCGATTACCATGTTCATCACTAAGCTTTTCATGTCCAGGAAGTAGTTCCGTTCTGTTAATGCTCAGAGGGTTCGGAGATTTGTTCCTGGGTTCATCTTGGTTTATTTCACTCGATATCACTGATCTTGCATACATTTCCGCTCGCTCAGCGCGGCTTCGAGAACCCTAGATTACTGTGGACATGTCATTTGCGATAAGAATTTGACTTGAGGTAGTATTCTTAAACGAATTTGTCTTATTTTATACTCAGTCGCCCTGCTGTTCGTCGTCAGTGTCAACATTCTTCCATTTACAGCTTATCTCGCTTTTTTTCGGGTCGTATTTGATAGGCTCCTACCTGCATTCACTACAATTGCACACATGTGTCCGTTTCTTAGCTGTTGGAGCACAAAACGATCACTGCGAAGTACAACCCACTAGCTGTGTGAGGGACATAATAAGGCTTCTGGTTCTGAACATTCATTTGAAGCATCGTCAAAACCATGTGCAACACTGTAGCTCTCTGATGTGCTCTATACATTTCTACGGAGTGAAAAGAAGAACCTATTCGTGGAAATTGCAGCCAATGAAGCCTTTCATGTAACCATAGAAGTGAACACCATTCAAATTAGTTCAAGATGGACGAACAGTTTTGATCATGGACAGTCATTTCCTTATGTTGTCATGCGAAATGACGTTCAGGTGTTCGCCTCGCTCGACAGATTCTGATTGGATTTTCGCACTAATTGAGGGAATTTTAAAGAAAAGCGGTTTCCTCAAGATATCAAGATCGAGATAGCTCGACTGTTTAAGCACAAAATTGATAATCGAAGGTTCGTTGTTTCAACTCCGGGTTTTTGATTTTCCCTGTCTGAACTTGCGTAGCGCGACACTATTTCAGCTCGTGTGTACTTCCGAATTGCACAGTAGGAATGCACCGAAAATTAGCTACTGTTTTTTTTGTTTTCAGGGTTATGTGTTACTATTCGTTTGTGTTGACCAGCATCGGCTCTGCGTTGAATTCGGAACCGTCCGTACTTGGTTTTGTTGAACGGATGATCTCATGGCGTCCATCAGACTTAGGTTGAAACCTTTTGTTTCATATTTTATTCCAGCAAAGTGATGCAACCATGCTCATGAGAACATGATCAGATTTTCCCAAGCTCTGTGGACAGTTACGCTGGTTAATCCGAGTATCAGGTATACCCATATCAATCGTCAGCTTGACTGTGTAGTTCATGTGGCTGTGGGTGAAGGTGCGTATAGCGCACCTGAAAGCATGTCTTGAGTACGCTTGACAGTTTTGACTCCTGCTGGATCATGCACACAAAACCAACCGATTGGATCAAAACTGGTTGAAAGTTGTTCTGGTCAAAATCAATGATTGGTGGTCAAGGTTGGTGTAGTGTGACGAGTCGTACGGGGCAAGTAATCGATTCTAGACAATTTTTCCTGTTCAGTACTCTATTCGGTACATTCAGTAAGCGCAAACTGATGGTTGCGCGAATTTCATTCCGGTTCCTCAGCACACATTATCAGTTAAACTGAGTGTCAGTGCAGAGCGTTTCTAACGCTTAAGTTTGAGCTTAAGTGCTAATTGTCTTTTATGTAGACAAGAAGTCAGTTCTAACAAATTTTGACGAATTCACTCCACAGGTTTGCAGTTTCCGTTGTCCGGCGTCCAGAAAATGGGATTCGCAAAATACACTGAAACAGTCCAGCTGGGTCTCTTGTGTGTGATATTTTTTGTCAAAATAGAGGCAAAATCAATCGTCGGTTTATAAGCAACCTCATGGGTAGTATGTTCCGTTGATACTTCTTGATTGTGATGTTTCGAGTTCATTTAGTGCCACTGAGCTGTGGGAGCCCTTTTGAAAATCTTTGTGGAATTGTGCTCACTTTAGGAGTTGTGACGCCAAAGCTTGTGCCTGGTGTACACGTACCAGTTGGTATGCGCGCATTTACTCAAACCTTGGGTTGTCAAAAATACGGTTTCATTTGTGTGTGCTATTATTCTTCCTACCGTTCAACCGTTAAAAATCGGTGAAAGTTTGTCTTAAACGATTGGCTTAGAGGTCATTTCCCAAAGGAGGCGCAACTGGCTCATAGCCTGTATAATTGATGTTTGCTATCAGTATCGATCACCAGGTTTTCCACCCTCTGACGAGAACAGATGCACAGTACGCTGACGTCCCGGGGCGCTCGATATACGGAGAAAACGTGGACAACCATATAGAAGGATGAATCATTTTCAACCGAATAGAGAATATCTGCACTGTTCCGTGGGTTTTTTGTACCAAGGTGATCTTCACTGGACAGCGTTAGCAACCATAGGTGAAAATTACATCACCTTAATGTACTAATCAGTTTCCATAGGGTTTGATACATTCAATGCGGTCATCCCATGTGTTAAAAACAACCGAAGTCAGCACCTGCACTGTCATTACGCCAGCTAGTGCATGTATATGGTGAGTCGTTTTGTTTCATTAGCGATGAAAAATAAAGTAGTTTTCAGTTGTACTGTCCTTTCGGTGCCTGGTTAACCCGCTGTCCGACCCCCAATATATGCCAGAGTTGGGTCCGAACAGAAAGTGCTTCCGGTCACTAATTTCGTGCCTCGATCACGAAACCCTCGAACCGCATTAACAGTAAGGACTTGTTTCAGGGCGACTGAACTGGAGTCGGATGCAACTGCTCGGGGCCCAATATCTGATCGTTTTGTTGTGTTCTGAATTGGTTCCATCCTGTCTTTTTTATGGGTCTTCGGGCCGCAGTCAGGCACGTGCGACTGTATATTAATGTTTTCTCATTCGCGATATGTACTTTCCATTTTACTTAGTGAATATTTGTTACCGAAGTATGTGACGTTATTTGTCAGGCCTTTCCCCGGACCTCGCAGCCAGATATTGGTAAGGCGTGTTTCCCCTAGAATAATGCAGTCCGGTGAGACGAAAAGCATCATGGTTTATATTTGTCGGGATCCTTGTCTGTGGTGAGATTCTGAACACCGCTTGTGTTCGGCTGTCTGTTGGCTAATCAACATTCACTTTTTTGAGCCAGCATCTTGTTTGCAGTGAATAGTCCACCACTGAAAGTTTGCTTTCAGTGACTTCAGACCTTTCCAACTGCGTAGTATGTCCGTATGACTCCACTGATCTAAGGACGAAAATCAACTGTCACGTGGCCATGGATGGTGTTCCCATCCTTTGAAATGAGTCTGATGTTTCACTGTCACTCATTAGACGCACCGTGTTAAGCCAAATGTTCCAACAGGTAATTTGGTTCACCGGTAGAATCAATTTGTCTACATAGTAAGAATGCGCCAGTTTTGTGTCACCCGCCCGGATTGGCCGATTGGCACATGCAGGTAAGTGTGGGGTAACGGGATTTCGAATTGAGGGTTAGAAGTCTTCAGCACGAAACTACGGTTGGCTTCACACCAGGACGAATGTAACGGTAATTTTATTCGCTTTTCCATGACATTGGACGATCGTTAATTAGTCTGCGCCACTCGTCAAACCAACAGTTTGCGCGCTTAGTGCATTCACAGATCCCGACAACGGTAACAACCAGAATGTCAACTAAACGTTCCCCGAGTTTGAAGATAGCTTCGACACTACCGTCTGCTCCTTTACTGTGCTGTTTCCAGCGCGATGCGTCCCACTACCTAGTTATGCATGAATCTGTAAGAACACTTCTCGCCGTCATATACATCTATATGCAGGTTAACCGGTAACAGTCGACTTACATCTAGTATCAGATACTGATCGAGCATACGTTTTCGTGGCTTACGTTACTAGAAACTAGTTATCAAGAGAGGCAATTGTGGTCGTTGTCTGCCGTTAAGCGAATGACTGTAGGTAAGGTTTGTCCAATCGGATGCCCTCAAGAGTTCCCAAAATTAACCTGGATTTAGGTTATGTATCAGTTGTCTAGACGTTCTGTCACCGACGAATTTCATGGATTCCTTAACTTGAGGATGGCTCTGATTTGTCAGCTGTTGACCGAAGGTAGGATTCATGTAGTCGGTGTGGCTGCGTCCATTTCGCAGGTCTCAATCCGCCCGGTGGTGTAGTTGGTTCCTTACCAAAACTGATGACACCTGTTCGTGCCCACCCCAGCTTGTTTACGGTTGCTATCCAAGTGTCTTTGCGGGTCCTATTGAACGTAAATAGTTGTCGAAGTTCGTCGTTTATATTACGAGGGACTGAATCCCCAGGAAAACTCGGTCAATCTAATCTTGTGCGTATCATCCGATTTTGCTCGTGAGTACACTTAGTGTTCTAAAGGCGTCATCATAATGTACGCCTCCGATCTCTGGTGTTGAATTTGTTTTTTCCATGCTCTTGTTTCCTGTGTATATATTGCCAGTGTTTTGCCGTATGCTGTCCTGTAGATTGAGCGATACTCACCAGATCTCGTTGGTTAGCCCCTCACAGCAAGGAACTGCGAGAGTTCTTGTGCCATAATGTGGCTAAGCCCGGCTACCGATAACCGGTCAGTCATCGGTCCATTCGTCGGATCAGTAACAGCAAGCGTTCTGGCCATTGATCTAGCATATTATCGTCAGTGTTCAATATCACTGTCGCTAACGTTTGGGCACGGGCTAACATGTGACAGCTCTCGATGGTAGTTCGGACACTGGTCATGTGAGATAAAGTGCTGTTTTCCTAGCTCAATTCTGAAGAAGAGTAGTGGTCAGTCTCTGATATGGATATGGCACTTTCGGCGCGACTCGCATGACTCCCCTCCCTCTTGTTTTGGCTGGAGACCGTGCGAGATGCGCCTGTCGATGTGTATTACTGGCATTGTCTTCCCGGTTATCGCATGCCAGCGGGAGTCGGTCTGTCCAATTTCCCTCACAATAAGTCGGAGAAATCGGTGTGCGGCTGCCCAGCATCATTATCGAATACTGGTTTTCTGCTGTTGGTGTTTAAGTGAAATATTGAGGCGATATCCTTTGAGACCTGCATGCACGAAATTCCACATTCGACTAGTGTCTCCCTGTAGATTTTAGTTGACTGGTGGGTTAAGATTCTTTGTTGATTATATCTGTTATATTTTGCGTGGTTTGTTAGAACAGGACCCCCCATTTTACTGCGATGGTACAACTCGGATACCCACTATCCGTTTTACCCTGATTTCTCTCGTCCATTAGTTACGCTGGGACTGAAACATCCAATGTTTTTGGAGTGATGTTCGTTTATCTTACTGCTTTTTTTGTTTACCAGTATGGAGTTAGTTTCCTTAGCCCAATTCTCTTTTCTACTGCTCGCAAAAAAACTTACCGTTCGCAAACTCCGGATGTGCGATTACCGGGTGTAACAAACGGAATCCGGACTAGTGAGCGAGAATTCGTGAACACTCGATCGCCATAAGGTTTAGCACTTGCAAAGCTCCACATTGATGTGACTATAGAGGTAATCGGTACGATGTTTCCTCTTACGTAGAGACCACTCTCAGTAGATTAGTCTTACTAGGAATTCGCCCGAAAACCTGATTAGTGGTTCGTTTTTCCCGATGAGAGGTTCCCATCCTGAACTGGATTACTGATGTTTTTT